GTTACAGACAATGCCCGCATCCTCCACCACCTGAAGAAGATGACAAAGTCTGGGATCGCGTCTTTAATTCAGACAGAAGACATGTTTTATTGTCGATGGTAGAGACAGCACGAACAACAGATACAATAGAATGCAAGTGTATCATACAGAGCGGAGGCATGGAGACCTCCAATCAGCAGCTTCCACGGTGCCATGTAGCTTGGCCTTCAGATAGACAAAACAAGGGAAAAGTACAGGCTTCTGCACATTGATAGAATGATGAGTTTAACTTTAACAAAAGTTGCTTAAAAGTGTTATGAAATCTCACAATCATTATGGTAGAACTGTGACAAATGTAAACAATAAAAAAACACACCTTGTCGTGTTAGGAAAAATGTTCAGGATGTAAAAAGATAAAGTATTGTATGAAATCAGATTGACAGATTTTGGTTTTGAACGAGTTCAACAGTTTTGTATGTGATGACCAAAGCCATGAAATGAGCTTTAGTTTTACAGGGAGAAACTATTCAGTCGTTTATTTTGACTAACAGGACAGAAGCAAATGACAATATTTATTTTTACCAACCGTAATCGACAGGGCCAAGCCAAAGTAGCCCTGTATATTCTCTGGGTCAGTCTTAGAAACATTAAGTTTCCCCTCTGGTTCACAGTGTGTGCGGCACGGTGGCTGAGTGGATAGCACTCTCGCTTCTTGACACGAAGGTCCTGGGTTCGAATCCCGGTCGGGACAGGGCCTTTCTGTGTGGAATTGGCATGTTCTCTGTGTCTGCATAGGTTTCCTCCGGGTGCTCCGGTTTCCCCTACCCAAGTGACCTTGGTCCATGAAATGCGCTATATAAATAAATATCATGATCTTTTAATGTGGGGGCTAATTTAAACTCAAAATAGTACAGTAATCTGGACAGTAATCTGAACTTAAAAAAGTAAGTTTTTACAGACTTGAAATTTCCAGTAACTTGAATTTAAACACTTAGTTGGCAGAACTTGGAAAACTTAACTGACACAACTTAATAAGTGTAGTTCTTCAAAACTTGAAGAATTAAGTTAATGCCTTCAACTCAAAAATCCTTCGCAGCTGGTTGCTTTGAAATTTTGAGTTGAACTAACTTTTTCTTTTTTACAGTGTGCATGGACCAGAAGTCCAATTAAAATAATGGACAATTGCTCCTGCAGCCCTGAACAGGACATGCGAGATGCGCGGGTCGGCCCGAAACCCGCAGTCAACCCGCGGGTCCCGCGGTTTCGGGCGGGTTGGATGCCTCAAAAATATGAGTCATGTCAGGTGCGGGTGGGTCGGGTCAGAAAGCTCCTGATCCCTATATAATATTATATATGTGAGCCACGGTATGGGAGTCCCTTGAGTACATTTGCAATCGCGCAGGGAGGCTGTTAAACAAAAAAATCATGCTGACAAACAGGATCGCTCCTTCCTGACTCCCCGCTTAAAGCCTCAGAACACTCCAGCCCGAGGACAGACGTGTGATCTACACAGAGGCACCGAGACTGATGACTGTGGGCCTCACAGCAGAGGCCTAAAGCAGGGGCCTCATTACTTTAATACTTACAGTCTGTGGTAAATACACGGGCTACAGGTGTTCCACGTGCTTAGACTATATTAATATTGTATGTGTAACATTCAAAATAGATTGCGGAGGAGAGAGCAGCGAGAGAAGTTTGGCAGGGAGTTAAAATAAATGAATTACAGCTTGCTAAATTATTTGAAAGCATCTTCATTATGATTGTTATATTTATGTATTTATTATAAATGTTAGAGATGCCAGAGAAAAGGCGTCTGCTTTTTTTCTGAGTGGGAGGAGACACCAGCGGAGCTGTTTGAGTCAGATAACGTTCAGCGTTATATTACCAATAGTTTCTCTTTCCATAACGATATTCTCTCTTTTTGGAAAGATCACCAACGTGATGCAAAAGTTTACGTTATATGCAGTAGTTTTAATGTCTGCGGGTTATTCCAGAGACTGGCCTGCTACAAGGAGTTGCCCGTTTTAACCAGATTGTCGATGTGCGCGGGGCAGAAACTCATAGGCGACGGATACAAGTCCGATGTACAGTACGCTAGGCTTAAAGCCACAGATAGTTGTCCGGTGAAGAGAGAAGAAAGAGCGATGAGACGCCAATGTAACCCTGCTCACAAGTGCCACCTGGTGGTTGTTTTGGTCATTGCAACGTCACTGGGGGGAAGGAAAATAAAAGACGCGTGAATCACACGTGAGTCTCGTGTGATTCACGCGTGAAAGGCGACAAAACGGAATGGGACCTACTGTAGCTTTACAATTATCTTAGTGTGTAAACAAGGGTGGAATGAGACTTTCTGGTCTGTAAACTATTGCTTTAAGCAGCAATGACAACTGTCTGTTTTTTTTAGTGAGACAAGTGAGCTGTCAATCACAGCCCAGACCACGCCCAACTCTAAGCCCCCCTTCTTGTCCCTTGGTCCTCCAGGCAACGCCCTTTTAAAAGAAACTTTTCAAATGTTCATGTGGGCGGAGTAAGGCTGTGCACAGGTGTTTAGTCGCTCTTTAAGTTGAGCAACGTAGTCAAATACTGTGTAGCCACGTCATCTTCTTCATTTTCAATAGCGTCGTCTATTGACTCCATTATTACTTTCTCTACTGCTCATCTGGTCTTTGCATTTTTGTAGTCAACTTTAGTATGCACACACACGTCTTTGAGCTCTTCCAGTTTCAGCATCAAGAGCTGCTGTGACACTTGCGCTGCGATCTCCTCGAGACTCATGTTGCCGACAGACTGCAGGTGCATGTAAGTTTCAAATGAAACAGATGAAAATTAAACAAAAAATAGGTGGTGGGTGTTATTACAGCGTTATTGTTATACATGTCAATTATCATGGGTCCCGCACTGTACAACTTTTGGTAAATGGATGGATGGATGGAAGTAAACACTAAAGTGAATAATAATAAGATGAAAATATATCTAGCTTACTCAAAGAAGTACAAGGTTTTATGCTACCTTTGACTAAGAATGTCTTATTTTTGAATTTTAAGAGCAATAAATATATGTTGTTAACGAATTCATGTTTTTTCATTCAGATATATAAATCAACACACAACACCCAATGTATACATTGCTATTTAGTCAGTTAAAGTGATTGTCTGGAGTTTGTCAGAAAGAGAGAACATATTATACATATACATTATTAATACACATGCACGGAGGTTTTCAGAATTATTTGTGAACGTTTTAATGAAAAAGAATATGTTTTTATGCACACAAAAAAGCGATCGCGGCAAACCAGGAAGTGCTATTATTATGAATTGCACATTATAGGACACATCTGCAGAGGATTTGATTATGGATATAGCTTCAGTATATACATAAGTACCTCAGTGTGGATGTTCAGAATTCTTTGTTCAGTTTTCATGTAGTTCTAGAGCCTAATAGAGGCTCCGCAATGCGCGCAGCTGCGAGCATCAGCGCCGATGATTGACAGCCCTTGGCATGACTCGATTGGTTAACCTCGACGGCACCGTGGATTCTGAACTATAGCTAAGAGCAGGGAAGGCGGGACTTGCCAGTAATATTAGAATTAATAAAATGACTTATTTTATATCAACATTTAAGGCCAGGAGGTCAATTTAACACATTTCCTAAAATTTGTAATTCTTTTAGAGTTACAGACTATCACTTTAATGGGGAGATAATCCGTGTATGTTTTACATTTACCTGTTTGTTTTGAATTTTGTATTGAATCTGTGTTGGAATGAATAAATGAAAAATAAAAATAAATAAAAAGTAACTAGTTACCAGTAAACGTAATTGTATCGTTTTGCTCTGGAACATAATGTACACTCGACGTGCACATTTTTTACCTTTAGCCTCAGTGAGATATTTCCATCTAGAAAAGGCTGTTTTGCTGCAGGTGTCCTCCTCACTCTCCATCTCTCTCTGTGTGCTGTAAGCACTAAACACCCGCCACTGTGAATGTGGAAACACCCACCAGTGATGTGCGGTGAGGCTGGTGAAGCACTGACTTCACCCCAATCAGATGTAACATACTGTATATATCATATAAATCAAAAGGACCTACAGAGCGACTTATTCACAATTTGTTTGGCTACAGCAGAATATGTTTCATGCCCGCATTGTTTGCTCATACGAAACACAAAAGTATGAAAAAGCACATTTAAAAGTGTGGTATGAGCCCTACCTTAAACATGAACTGCACAGACCACCAGTTCAGACCAGTTTCCTATTCAAGTTCAGATAATAGTTTTAGCGTAGATATGTAATCCTCCATTTGGAAATAAGTCCAATGAGTTCTAAAAAGTAAAACATAACGGGTGTCTCCTCCATAAACTCCTCTCGTGTATCGCTAACTGCAGCAAAATCTCGGGTGCATCCAATTTCTAAAATCAACCTTCTTACCCTTCACCTCTCTTTCTTATCATTCCTATTGTCATTGGAACATTACCCTAAGTGCATTTTAAATTATCTTAAAATATGTTATATGTATTTTAGCCAAACCTGTTGCTGCCCTTAGCAGATGAAGAGCAAGAAAGGAGCTTTCTGATGGAATCAGATGCAGACGAATTCTGCGCTCACATGCGAACCGTACCCTGAGGCTGGCCTCACTTGTTGACATTACAAGCCGTGGTTGAGCGCAATTAAGACCCCATGTTTTCCATCAGCCAATAATTGCTGAGAGATTATCTCATCCTCCCTTCTCTCTTGACAACACACGCACAAGTCCTATCATGAAGTTTAAAACAAAAGTTAATTGTGCTACTTGAGTAACGTGCAGTAATGGGGTGTCGGCAATGATAACAGGGTTATAGTTACAGTCAGTAATTAGTTAGATTACTCGTTACTGAAATTGTATAATGACTTAGAAGTATAAAAACTAACTTGTAAGTTTAAATTCACTCGGCACTGAGCTTGGCTTGCGGATATAGCCTGTTATTATAATAGATCCATGATTTAGCCCGGGTCCTCTTGCTGCATTTTTCCATGTGCTCCTGCAGGTGGCGTTGATGCCGGGGCAGCATGCTGCTGTGGCTGTGGTCTGCTCTCTCTTCGGCTTCTTTGGTTTCTCTGTTTACCCCGTTGCCATGGAGCTGTCGGTGGAGTGCTCGTACCCCGTGGGAGAGGCCACCTCAGCTGGGCTCATCTTTGCCTCAGGGTTAGTCACTGTCATTCACACAAATTCTGTAGAACTAACTATTTAATCATTAAACAGACCTGGAGTTGTTTATAGCCAACAACAACTTCTGGCACAAACACATCCCACAGCTATTGTGAGTGACTGCATAACATAAAACAAAAAAGAAAGAAAAGCTCCTCTCTCAACAACAACAAACTGGAGAGTGGAGAGAATAGAAAACACGAATTGACTTTTCTCTTTCTTATTGTGGTACTGAATGTTATGCAGTCACTCTCAATTGCTGTGGGACGTTTTTGTGCCAAGAAGTTGCTTTTTGGCTATTAAACAACTATCACAGGTCGTTTAATGACTTAAATAGTTATTCTACAGAATTTCTGTGTGAATGACAGTGACTGACCCTGAGCAAAGACATGAGCCCAGCTGAGGTGGCCTCGCCCACGGGTAACGAGCACTCCAACCACCGACTCGCTCCATGGCAACGGGTAAACAGAGAAAACCAAGAGAAGCCGAAGAGAGAGCAACCACAGCCACAGCAGCATGCTGCCCCCGCAGCAACGCCACCTGCCGGAGCACATCAGGAAAAATGCAGCAACGGACCCGGGCTAAATCATGGGAGCTATTATAAGAAAATAACCAGGCTAAATCCGCAAAGCCCAAGCTCCATGCCCGAGTAAATTTAAACATTACAAGTTAGTATCTTTTATACTTCTAAGTCATTATTCAAATTCAGTAACGAGTAAATCTAACGATATTGACCTGACTAACTAGATAACCCTGTTAGTCAGTTGCCGACACCACCCGTTACTGCACGGTTACTCAAGTAGCACAATTAACGTTGTTTTAAACTTCATGATAGGCGACTTGTGCGTGTGTTGTCAATAGAGAAGGGAGGAGAGATAATCTCTCAGCAATTATTGGCTTGATGGAATAACATTGGGTCTGTAATTGCGCTCAACCACAGGCTTGTAATGTCAACAAGTGAGGCCAGCCCTCAGGGTACGGTTCGCATTGACGCGCAGAATTCGTCTGCATCTGAGTCTCCATCAGAAAGCTCCTTTCTTGCTCTTCATCTGCTAAGGGCAAGCAACAGGTTTGGCTAAAATACATACTAACATATTTTCAAAGATAACTTAGTGAAAATGCACTTAGGGTAATGTTCCAATGACAATAGAGAACGATAAAGAAAAGAGAGGTGAAGGGGAGTGAAGCGTTGAATTTTAGAAAACAGGATGCACCCGAGATTTTGTGCTGCAGTCGAGCGATACACGAAGAGGATCTTTTTATGTAGGACACACCCGTTATGTTTTACTTGATTAGAACTCATTGGACTTATTTCCAATGAGGATTACATATCTACGCTAAAACTATTAACAGCTGAACTTGGAATAGGAAACTTGGTCCCTGCGAACTAGGTGGTCTGTGCAGTTCATGTTGAAGGTAGAGGCTCATACCACACTTTTAAATGTGCTTTTTTCATACTTTGTGAGTTCGTATGAGCAAACAATGCGGCATGAAACATTATTCTGCTGTAGCCCAAACAAATTGGAATAAGTCGCCTCTGTAGGATCCTTATTTGATTTGATATGATATATACAGTATGTTACTCCATCGATTGGGTGCGAAGTTCAGTGCTTCACCAGCCTTCACCCGCACAATCACATGTGGGTGTTTCCACATTCACAGTGCGGGTGTTTAGTGCTTACAGCACAACAACACACCAAAGAGAGATGGAAGCGTGAGGAGGACACCTGCAGCAAAAACAGCCTTTTTCTAGATGCAAAATATCTCACTGAGGCTAAAGGGTAAAAAATGTCACGTCGAGTGTACATTATGTTCCAGAAGCAAAACGATACAAGTTAACTTTTTACTGTAACTAGTTACTTTTGTATTTATTTTATTATTTCATTTATCATTCACAATCACAGAGTCAACACAAAATTCAAAACAAACAGTACATGTAAAACATACACAGTATCTCCCCAGTAAAGTGATAGTCTGTAACTCTAAGAAGAATTACAAATTTTAGGAAAATGTGTTAAAATTGACCTCCGTGGCCTAAATGTTGCATATAAAATAAGTCATTTATTAATTCTAATAATTAACTAGGCAAGTCCCGCCTTCCCTGCTCTAGCTATAGTTCAGAATCCACAGTGCCTCGTCGAGGCTTAACCAATCGAGTCATGCCAAGGGCTAGCAATCATGGCGCGGATGCTCGCAGCTGCGCGCATTGCGAGACCTCTATTAGGCTCTAGGAACTAACATGAAAACTGAACAAAGAATTCGGAACATCCTCACTGAGAGGACTTAGTGTATAATACTGAAGCTATCCGTTACTCAAATGCCTCTGCAGATGTGTCCTATAATGTGCAATTCATAAAATAAGCACTTCCGGTTTGCCGCGATCGCGTTTTTGGGTGCATAAAAAACATATTCTGGGTCTTCAGTTAAACTCGGTTCACAAAATAATGCTGAAACCGCCGTGCCAGTGGTGATATAATAATGTATATGTATATAATATGTATCTCTCTTCGCTCATTTCTGACAAACTCCAATACAATCACTTTTAACTAGATCTAAATAGCAATGATACATTGGGTGGTTGTGTGGTGATTTATATATCTGAATGAAAATACATGAATTCGTGAACAAAATTATTTATTGCTCTAAAAATTCAGAAAATAAACAATCTTAGCAAAAGGTAGCATAAAACCTTGTACTATCTTTGAGTAAGCTAGATATTATTTTCACATCTTATTATTATTCACTTTAGCTTGTTTAAACTTCCAATCCATACCATCCCATTTTACCCAAACAGTTGTACAGTGCGGGACCCATGACTAAATTGACATGTATCAACAATAACGCTGTAATAACACTACCACCACCTATTTCTTGTTTAATTGTTCATCTGTTTCATTTGAAAACTTACATAGCACCTGCAGTCTAGGGCGCAACATGAGTCTACGAGAGATCGCAGACGCAAGTGTCACAGCACATCCTTGATGCGCAGAAACGGGAAAAAGCTCAAAGACGTGGTGTGTGCATACTAAACGGTTGACTACAAAAATGCAAAGACCAGATGAGCATAGTGAAAGTAAAATGGAGTCAATAGACGACCTACATTGAAAATGAACGAAGATGACGTGCTACACAGTATTTTGACTACGTTGCTCAACTTAAAGAGCGACTAAACACCTGTGCACAGCCTTACTCCGTCCACCACATGACACATTTGAAACAGTTTCTTCTTTACACAAAAGGGCGTTGCCTTGGAGGACCAAGGGACAAGAAGGGGGCTTAGAGTTGGCGGCGGTCCTGGCTGTGATTGACAGCTCACTTGTCTCGGACTTAAAAAATACAGTTGTCATTGCTCGCTTAGGTCCCATTCCGTTGTTTTGTCGCCTTTCACGCGTGAATCACACGAGACTCACGTGTGATTCACGCGTCTTTTATTTTCCCCCCCCAGTGACGTTGCAATGACCAAAACAAACCACCAGGTGGCACTTGTGAGCAGGGTTACATTGGCGTCTCATCGCTCTTTCTTTCTCTCTTCACCGGACAACTATCTGTGGCTTTAAGCCTAGCGTACTGTACATCGGACTGATTATATCCGTCGCCTATGAGTTTCTGCCCCGCGCACATCGACAATCTGGTTAAAACGGGCAACTCCTTGTAGCAGGCCAGTCTCTGGAATAACCCGCAGACATTAAAACTACTGCATATAACGTAAACTTTTGCATCACGTTGTGATCTTTCCAAAAAGAGAGTGAATATTGTTATGGAAAGAGAAACTATTGGTAATATAACGCTGAACGTTATTTGACTCAAACAGCTCCGCTGGTGTCTCCTCCCACTCAGAAAAAAAGCAGACGCCTTTTCTCTGCATCTCTAACATTTATAATAAATACATAAATATAACAATCATGCTTTCAAATAATTTAGCAAGCTGTAATTCATTTATTTTAACTCCCTGTGCTCTCTCCTCCGCAAACCACTAAATGAGGAAAAGGGAAATTCACTCAATCATTTTGAATGTTACACAATACAATATTAATATAGTCTAAGCACGTGCCATGTCTCTGTATTTACCACAGACTGTAAGTATTAAAGTAATGAGGCCCCTGCTTTAGGCCTCTGCTGTGAGGCCCAATCATCAGTCTCGGTGCCTCTGTGTAGATCAACGTCTGTCCTCGGGCTGGAGTGTTCTGAGGCTTTAAGCGGGGAGTCAGGAAGGAGCGATCCTGTTTGTTCAGCATGATTTTTTTGTTTAACAGCCTCCCTGCGCGATTGCAAATGTACTCAAGGACTCCCATACCGTGGCTCACATATATAATATTATATAGGGATCAGGAGCTTTCTGACCCGACCCCACCCGCACCTGACATGACTCATATTTTTGAGGCATCCAACCCGCCCGAAACCGCGGACCCGCGGTTGACTGCGGTTTCGGGCCGACCCGGCACCTCGCATGTCCTGTTCAGGCTGCAGGAGCAATTGTCCATTATTTTAATTGGACTTCTGGTCCATGCACACTGTAAAAAAGAAAAGTTAGTTCAACTCAAAATTTCAAAGCAACCACTGCGAAGGATTTTTGAGTTGAAGGCATTAACTTAATTCTTCAAGTTTTGAAGAACTACACTTATTAAGTTGTGTCAGTTAAGTGTTTCCAAGTTCTGCCAACATAAGTGGTTAAATGCAAGTTTACTAGGAAATTTCAAGTCTCTGTAAAAACTTATACTTTTGTAAGGTCAGATGACTGTCCAGATATACTGTAACTAGTTTAATGAGTTTAAATTAGCCCCCACTATTAAAAGATCATGATATTTATTATATAAGCGCATTTCATGGACCAAGGTCACTTGGGTAGCGGAAACCGGACACCCGAGAAACCTATGCAGACACAGAAAAACAGGCCAATTCCACACAGACAAAGCGGCCCTACCCGACACGGGATTCGAACCCAACCTTCGTGTCAGAAGCGAGAGATGCTATCCACATCAGCCCCACCGTGCCGCATACGAACACCACTGTCTGAACCAGAGGGGAAACTTTAATGTTTCTAAGACTGACCCAGTAGAATATACAGGCTACTTTGGCTTGGCCCTGTCGATTTACGTGGCTCTCGTAAAAATAAATATTGTCATTGCTTCCGTCCTGTTAATCCAAAATAACGACTGAATATTTCTCCCTGTAAAACTAAAGCTCATTTCATGCTTTTCCATCACTATACAAAACTGTTGAACAATTCGACTTCAAAACCAAATCTGTCAGATCTCATTTCATACAATACTTTAAATCTCTTTTTACATCCTGAACATTTTTCCTAACCACGACAAGGGTGTTATTTTTTATCTTGTTAACAATTGTCACAGTTCTACCATAAATGATTGTGAAATTTCTATAACACTATTAAGCAACTTTTAGTTATAAGTTAAAACACTCATCATTCTATCAATGTGCAGAAGCCTGTACTTTCCCCCTTGTTTTGTCTATCGGAAGGCCAAGCTACATGGCACCGTGGACAAGCTGCTGATTTGACGGATCTCCATGCCTCCTGGTACCTCGGTATATATACACTTGCATTCTATGTATCTGTTTTCGTGCTGTCTCTAACCACTCGACAACAAAAACATGTCTTCTGTCACTAATTAAAGACGCGATCCCACTAACTTGT